TCATAATGGGTTTCTTAGAGGGTTCTGGAAGGGTCTTGAATCTTGAGATGCGTTACTTTAGACATTTCTTAAGTTCCATCTTGGTTTAGATCCCAAACTTGCTCCAATCAACTTGCAACCTTGAACTTATCCTCATGTCATATAGAATATGTCTTATAGAGAATTGTTGGTAATTTGGAGCATGTCTAAACCTTGAGTTAGGATGTGACTCCTTGTTTCGTTTTCAGGAACTAAACCTTAGAGGTTGTCATGTCATGTATCGTATTTTAGCTCTGAAAAATCTTCCAAAGTAACCCTTAATTTTCTCCCATGAATGCATAGATGGTGTCGTCATAATCGTGACATCCTGCTGGCAAATCTTGATGTAGGGCATCTCATTTAGGTGAGGAAAATAGTAAGTCCATCACAGCATCCTGCTCATGGTACATATAACAGGGCATCCCACCTAAAGAGGAGTTGGGGCCTCGTGGTACCCTTCGTGATGGGAGATCATGGTTACTTCGGGCATGAATCCTAGCAACTTGTTAAGCATGATATTTGCATTAATCAAGGTGTTTTCTTGGATTCTTGGTGATCCTAGGTATTATGCATAATGTCATGGGTCAAGCTTGGAATTTATAAGTTCTTCCTAGGAATAGCCCAACATGATCTTGTGCACTTGCACCTATTAGTGATCAAGGGTATAGGTGGAAAATCTCTTATTTCATGGATACCTCGTTAGTTATCCTAGGAGGTAAGGTCGTATGGATCGTGATGAACGTTTTTCCCCATATCTTGGTTTCGCTACCTAACGTTCTCCAATGACTTTCAAACTTCATTACTTTATACAACCTCTTGAGATAAGGATTCGTACAAAATTTCATAAATATTTTGAGGTCATTTAGGGCTTAACCCGTAGGTAATCTTCCTTAGGGGCATTATGGTCATTTTACCCATAATTCTTGGTTTTGCTACTTAACGTGTTCCAATGACTTTCAAACTTCACCACATCATTAGTCATCATAAAATAAGGTCTATTACGGAGTTTCATAGCATTTGGGGGTCATCTAAGTCATGAACCGTAGGTAGATATCCTTGGGGCATTATGGTCATTTTGCATCATTTCTTGATTTCCTACTTATCCTTATCCATTGACCACCAAATTTCGTATATAACCTCAAAATGCTATAATATGCTCAGCATTAAAATTTCATAGGCAGCAGAGTTCATTTAGTGGGTTATTTTAATGTTACCTAATTCTCGAGTAATTTGATCGATTTAGGGTCTTAACTCACGGTTCTTTGAGTTTTTCTTTCATATAACCTTATTTCATACTTGTTTTAGGGTTCATATCAAAATCCAAGTGATTCGTACAAGTATTTCTTAACAAAAAGTCCAAGATAGTTACTTACCTCGTCATCGATGTTTGGGACCTCCATTCTTGAGCTTCCGATATCCGAACTACTTCAAATTTCCTTCCACAGACTCCTTACTGTGTCTAGTTTTTGGAACCATAAAGTTTTGTTTTTTTATTTTTTTATTTTTTTTATTTTTTATTTTTTTGTGAGAACCAGTCTGAAAAGGGGTTAAAATTGAGAAAAACCAAGGAAATGTCGGATTTTGGGTTGACTTGGCCTGTTCAGTTGAACCGTCCATGTCATCGTCTTCTTCCTCAGGATGGGAAGAAGACGCGGGCGTCCGTTCATGCCACCATTTGAAAATCGAGCTCCAAAGCTCCGATCACGCCGTTTCTCCCCTCAATTTCTTCATGAAACTTAACGATGGTGTTACAAGGAAAAACTTGGGATTGATTTCCTACCTTCTCGTGGATCGTAGCCTTAGATATTCGCCTCTAAAGTTCGTCCAAAATCAATTTTCTTGCCAAAGCTAAAATAGAGGATTTCTTATTGGGTAGCCGATTCTAAGGGTTTTCAAGGCCCAATTTCTTCATGGAACCTCTTCCATATCCTTTCCTCAAGCTAAAGGAATTGGTTTGGAGGGACGTCATTGAGTGTGAGACTTTAATTTCTAGAAATCGTTCTCAGTATGCAACTCACCCGAAACGCCAGACTAAATGAGAAAGAGAAATTTGGTATGGAAGAATATGTGTTAACCAAACAAAAAGATAAAACAGAGTAAATACATAAACTAAAAGAGAAATTTGGTGAACATAATTAAAAGATAAAATAGAGGAAATATCAAACCGTAATAAACTCCATTAAATTCTTTTATAAAAGAGTAACAATATCTTCCATGAAAGAGTAATAATAGAAAATGAGATCTTAATATAAATAAAGGGGTCACGATTCCTAGCGGGTGTTTGGAAACAACTCCCGAGAAATGCTAGCCTGACCAAGAAAAGGGTCAGGAGGTGTATGAACCGACTCGTGGGCCCATACTCCACTTGTGGTCCGTATGTAGAATAGTCAATACACATCCAATTACTTGCTTAGGATAGTCGTCTAAGGGAATATAGACTGATATGATCGATCCCACTTGTGATTGTATGTGCTTGTATCTAACCCCAATAGCGGAGTTAATTACTAAGTATTTCTTACAATTCTCAAGACATGTGCTACTCTTACTTTTCAGTTAAAGGCAAGGCTGCCATGTACGGTTGACGGTAACATCGTAACACAAGAGACCATGACACATACATAGGGTAATTTGCATTTAAATTTCATACACTATAAGTTAGCATAGGACATTTTCGTTTTATTTTGTTTCAATTTTTGTTAAATTGTTTAAAGACCTAGTAAACATGTAAGTCTATGACGATGTTTTTATGATAAAGTTTTGAATAAATTATTTTCGCGTAAAATGACTATGATATGCATATAATAGCAACTTTAGATTAAGTAGAAAATCTAGGGTCGAACATATTCTTAATTTATATTCGATTAATTTTAAAAGGAATATCATACGTTTTTTAATTTGAATATATTTAATTTGTAAACTAAATATTTTTTTTTAATACAATTAGTCTAAAATTATAAATTATTTATTTTACTAATTTTACTGTAATAGGTGACAATTTAAATTCAACTACATTTGAATTATTTTTATAATTTTTTAGATAAATATTTGTTTTATTCAATTTTCCCTAATCGAAGATTTTAATTATACTCAATAAAAAAAAAGCAAAAAATAAAGGTATCAATTTAGATATCTTCGTATGTAAATTAAATATATTGTAACACAACTAATTTTATTATTATTTTCAGCAAGAAAATAAATATTTTTATAAATATATAATTTTTTAAGTCAAATTAAAAAAAAATTATTATTTAATTTTATTTTAGAATAGATAATTTGTTAGGATTCGACAAAAAAGATTACTAAAGGGGCAATGTAACCGAAGAAATTGATTAAATATTGATCTAGTCAGTAAAAGGAACAAGTCTCGAAGAAAGTGAGAAAGTTGAAATTAAGGTTGAGTTAAATATTTAAAGTTTTCGAACTTTATTGTCTACATGAATATTGATTGTAGTGAAACGCCTGAGCCACAGAATTACTAAATGAGTTATGTTGCTTATGAAATTTTAGGAGAATGCTGAATATGACATGATAATGTTATGTATGAAATTTAGTGACCATTAGGTTATGGTAACGGACTAAACCAAGTGTATGTGGAAAATGACTAAAATGTCCCTATAACTACGTACCACTAGCTTATGACCAAAGTGACCTATAAATGACTTGAAATTTGATGAGAAGCTTTTTTTTCATGGTGTAAACTGATTACACAAAATTACAAGGCCATTGGAATATGCCGAAGAATTAAACCAATATTTGGAGTGGTAAATGTCAAAAAAAAAAAAACCCTTATGAAAATTCTAAGATATTTTCAAGATCCTAGAAGACTCAAAATATTATAGAAAAGTATATGGGACTCATTTATGATATTAAGAAGGGTAGGTGTGCAAGATTTTAAGGGGATTAAGACAACTTTGGAATGTGAACCAAGAGAGAAAGTACGATATGGTTTAGGATACCTTCCTGTACGATAAGATTAGGATATGTTTATGAAACGATATCGTTTAGGATACGTTGGGAAACGATATGACTAAGGATATGTATATGGAAACGATATGACTACAACGATATGATGTGTGCGCGTGCGTGCGTGTGTGTTGGGACCTCATGCATTATTGTGTGCTCATTCAATGAGGAATACCCTTATCCTTCATGATAGTACGAAAGCGTATGTTACGAGGCAGGAAAACGATCATTATGGTTATCATAATGCTGCGATGATCATGCAGGAAAACGTTCATTATGTTTATCATAATGTTGCAACGATTATGCAGGAAAACGATCATTATGTTTATCCTAATGTTGTCGTGACGGTTGGTACTTCTAACGGATGTCCGACTGAGAGCTACTAGAGAATGCTCGCCCAACAAGAAGGGCCCAGGAGGTGACAAACCAACTGGTGGGTCAATACTCGCACGTGTGGGTCATGTGTAGGAAATTAATTACATATTCAAGTTGCCTATTAGAATAGTCGTCGTAGGAAAATAGACTGTTATGATAGGTCCTATTCATGAAATTGTATGTGTTTGAATTTACCTAGAATACGATGTTTTTAATTTAAACGTTTATTTATTTTATTAAAACTGTTTTCAAAACACGTAAATTCATAACTATGTTTTAAGATAAACGTTATGTTTTTTAACAATTTAACCACTCAACCTCAACCTAACTCGGAATAAATGGTTAGGTTGGGTTGTGAAAATTTTTGGGTTGGGTTGGATTTAATTACCAATCCACTCCGAACTTGGGTTAGTCCAAATAAATTTTTCAACCTAACCCAATCCAATCCAATTTATTTTGTTCGTGAGAAAAAAAAAAAGTAATTAAAAAAATTAAAAAGAAAAAAGAAAATGATCCGGTGTGATGTATGTTGGCTCCTCCAAATATTCTTGCACCAGTGATTTGTCAGTCTCTCTCTTTTCTCTTTCTGTTTGTGTTTGAAGGATTGATGTAAGGATGAAATTCCATATGTTTTGATTTATTTAAGGGAAGTGGTAATACCAAACACCAAAAGCTAAAGGAAAAGGAGAGAGAGAGAGAGAAGAGGGGATGGGCGCATCCTCTGTTTTCCTTCCCTAACCATTATTCCTCCTCCTTCCTCTTAGATCTTACTTTCCCATCACTATTTCACTGCAACCGTGAAATCCCATCTCTATTTTCCTTCATTCTCCCTTTTCTTCTTCTGGGATTTCATTGTTTTCCGCTTATTTTGCGTTTCCGATTCTTCTACGACCTTTCCTCCTTCTTCCCTTCATTACGAAGCATCGGATGTTTCACCATTCAATCTGTTCTTTGTTTTTAGCCTGTCCGATTCTATCTCAATTTTCGGTTAATAATCGCCCCCTTTTGTTTCTTCTTACCTCAATCCACATTTTCCTCCCAACTAGATTGGATTGTGTTTTTCTAGTTCAGATTTCGGATTTGGGATCGAGTTGTGTATGCTTCGAATTGAACGATTCTTTTTAGTTTTGATTTTGATTTTGATTTGGGTGTTTTGCGATGTCTTGTAAATCGAAATTCATTGAATGATTCATTGTTTGGTAATAGAAAAGATGGAATCAGATCTTGGCAAACTCTTTATTGGCGGAATTTCTTGGGATACTGATGAAGAACGTCTTAGGGATTATTTTGGAAACTATGGCGAAGTGGTTGAAGCTGTGATCATGAGAGATCGCACCACCGGTCGTGCTCGTGGCTTTGGCTTTGTTGTCTTTGCAGATCCTGTTGTTGCTGAGAGAGTCATTTTGGAGAAGCATATCATCGATGGCCGCACTGTGAGATTTTCTTCTTACCTCCGATCATACATTTTTTTAACGTTTGATTCCTGTTCTTGGCAATTCTGTATAAATTTAGATGTGATGTGTTCTGTGGATGCAATTTGTAGGATTAGAATATGTGAAATTGGAGTTGTGTTCTTGTTAAATGTGGCTTTTCAATTATTAGGTTGAAGCTAAAAAGGCTGTTCCAAAGGATGATCAGAACATGTTGAATAGAAACATTGGTAGTAGCATTCAAGGTTCTCCTAGCTCGGGACGAACGAAAAAGATTTTCGTTGGAGGTTTAGCTTCAACAGTCACAGAGGCAGACTTTCAGAAGTACTTTGATCAGTTTGGCACAATCACTGATGTTGTTGTTATGTATGATCACAGCACACAAAGGCCGAGAGGTTTTGGGTTCATTACGTACGACTCGGAGGAGGTCGTCGACCGTGTGCTGCATAAAACCTTTCATGAACTCAATGGAAAAATGGTTGAGGTTAAAAGAGCAATCCCAAAAGAGCAAACCCCAGGGCCTAACCGGAGCCCTCTTGTAGGATATAACTTTGGTATGAGTAGAGCTAGTGGATTTCTTAACAACTATACTCAAGGCTATAATATGAGTCCTCTCAGAGGTATCGGAATCCGGTCCGATGGTAGGTTGAGTCCATTTCTTAGCCCTCGAACCGGGGTTCCTCCTTTAGGTTTGAATTTTGAGCAAGGGCTGAGGCAAGGCTATGGTAGGACTATGAACATTATGAATAGTCAAGCACAGGAACAAATGTTGAGTTCCTATTATAATGGAAATTCGAATAGGTACATTGCCCCGATTGGCTATAGCGGAGGCAATGGACGAGGCGATTCTCCGTTAAGCTCGAGTACGTGGAATGTCTGGGGAAATGGAAGTATGAGCACTGCTTCCATGAACTCTTCTGCCTCTGGAATGGGTAACTTCAGAGTGGCATATGGAAATAACGATGATAATTGGAATTTTCCTGCTGTTTCTAATCATGTTGGAGGAGGGAATGTTCCTGATAATGGATATGCAGTTCGAGACAATGGCGTCGGGTTCAGAGGAGACTATGGAGGAAATGTAGTCTCGAACGCAACCCAAAAACCATTTGCTGAAACAACCAATGGTTTCGAGAGGTCATACAGGGAATTATATCGTGATCAAGTCGTGCACGATGATGTAACTTGGCAGTCTACCGCTCCTGAACTCGATGATTCTATGGCTTTTGGTTATGGTCTTGGTAACCTCGCTTCAGACGATCCAACCAAAACTTCAGAGAGTTCTGTAGCAAATTACGACATTTCGAGCAGACAATCAACTAGAGGTAAACACACCCTTTGCTTTATTTTATTTATAGTCACGTTTTCGTTATAGCGTCTCGACTTGCGACTCTGAATTTAGCTGAAAATAGAACCATTTGGCATTTGATTATTGTTGTGAATAGGAATTGCTGCGTAGAAGAAGATAAATTGAAAATATAGTTGCAATGAATGAAACATGATACGAAGAAGGATTTGGATTCGGATTCGTAATTTTCATACCGCTCGTTGAGTTGATGAGCTAAAAAGGGAACACTGATCTGATAAACACACACTCTAGACTCGGTTCCTCGATGGAAAACATAAACATAGATTTGGAAAGAAGAAAGGAGACAGACGAGACGACGACGACAACAGAAATCGAGCACTGTAATTTTTCGTTTGCATTTGCGTTTTTTTCGTTAGCAAGACGTAGAGTGGCGTTGTTGGGATTGATTGAGGTGTAATAGAGTGATGTTTTGAGTAAACAGATCATTTTTTGTTTTTGTTTTTGTTTTTGTTTTTGGTATAAGAACACAGATGATGATGAACAAGTTGTTCGAGTTTGTTGTGTTGGGGAATTCATTTCAGATCTCTTTATCTATTTTGTATGGCCATTTGATTCTCATCCTTGTAGATTAGGATATGCTTTTGCTTTGCTTTTGGCTTTACCTCTCAAGCATCTCAACAATTTAATGCTTGTGGTCCTTTGCTCTCTCTCTCTCTCTCTCTCTCTCTCTCTCTCTCTCTCTCTCTCTCTCTCTCGGTTTCTCTCTCCTCGGTTTCAAAGTATATCGAAAGATGCAAATCTCGATATGTTTGGTTTGGAGGTTTCAAAATGTTACATTTTAACTATTAGATATTTTCAGATACTAAAACGATATGTGGAAGGTTACTTATTTTGGTCTCTAAGTTTCGAGTTTAGTATTCTGTAATATAGTTGCTTTAAGTTTCAGATAATTAATTAGAAAAGTGTAAAATGTTGAACAAATTACCAAATATAAATGAAGCCGTTAAAGTGTGTGTATCAACTCTATGGATCAAAGTGTGTGTATCAACTCTATGGATCACGTGAAAATTCAATTCAAAATTAAATGAAAACGATGTTTATATGTTTTCTTTAATATTTGCTTTTTGTGGTTCGCGTTAAGTTTCAGCTAATTAATTAGCTGAAATTTACGGGGGAAAAGTGTAAAATCTCGAACAAATTACTAAATAAAAATGAAGCCGTTAAAGTGTACAACTCTTTGCATCACGTGAAGATTCAATTCAAAACTCGATAGGTAAAAGTAAAAGTATAACAGTGAAACGACTAAATGAAAATGATGCTTTTATGTTTTCTCTAGTATTTACTTTTTGTCGTTTGCATTAAGTTTCAGCTAATTAATTAGTCGGAACTTAAGGGAAAAGGTGTAAAATCTTGAACAAATTATCAAATAAAAATGAAGCGGTTCTCCCGAATTTGGAGTATTCTACTTTCACACAATTCACCAGATTCAACAAGCAATTGATATTTTACAATCAAGGGTGTAGTACTATTTGTAGTAGCGGTCCTTATATATCGTATTAAGGATCAACAGATGGTCGAAAGAAAAAATCTCTCTATTTGATAGGGTTTCTTCCTATACCTTCGAATATTTTGAAAAAGTATAACAGTTTGAAACGAATAAATGAAAACCATGCTTAAAATTTAAGGGCTAAAAAGTTATTAATATGGAATCAACCCAAGGGTAAGCTCGGGTACCAAATGATATGGAATCACTACAAGGGGAGTAAGATTTAGATTATCTCGTTGATCGTATATCTCAAGGCAAGAACACTTGTTTGAGATTTGAATCACTCCACAAACAAGATCGATCATGTCTAGCTTGAATGATCTCCTACTCTCGTATTTCTCCACCGATCATCACCGTTCGACTGTCACTCATCGAGCTTTGTAATTGGTGAGCATCTATCATGAGTTAAACTATTTATTTAGTCTCTCGTCTCTTCTCACGATGAGTTTATTCTACACACAATAGTATTTTCTCAATTAACTACTTATGTAATCCCTACACACAATAGTAGTTCGTTAAGTCATCTACTTATTTAGTATCTCATCCTCTCTCAAGGTGGGTTCATTTTACCATTCCTTATGTCGTCTATTTATACAGTCCCTTGTGCTCTCTCAAACTAGGTTTATTCTATACATAGTAGCAATTCTTTATGTCATCTACTTATGTCTTGTCCTCTCTTAAGGTGAGTTTTGTTGATTTTGACTGAGCAAATCGGAGGAATCGTTGACGAAGAAAAACTGATGGAAAATCTTGGAAGAAGAAAATAATGAAAAAACAAAGAGAGACAATATTTCAGATTCTGCACCGAAGACACGATGATCTTATTTCTCATTCAATTGGGATAGTTAAATAACAATTATATCCTAAAAATGGGAAGGAGTGGCGACTCAATTAAAGCTAATCCAGTCAGACGTGTACATCCCACTAACTTTAACTGTGCTGCTTTAACTAATAGTAACTAAAAAAAGAGAACGAATGACTTTTGACTGGATTTATCTAACAATCTCCTCTTAAAACCCTGTGGTATATATCTACCTTACTGTTTGAACTCCGATCTTCGAGCGCAGTTCTTCAAATTTCTCCCGCACCAGAGATTTGGTGAAGATGTCTCCAAAATGTTCCTCTGTTCGGATGAAATCAATCTTGATGAGCCCCCGATCTGCACATTCTCGAATATAGTGGAATCTGATATCTATGTGCTTGCTTCGATCATGCAAAACTAGATTATCTAAATGTAACGACCCGGGAAAGAAAGAAAGAAAATATATATATATATATATATATATATATATATATATATATATATATATATATATATATATATATATATATAATAAATAAATGAAAACGAGAAAACGAAAAAAAAAAAAGAAAAAAAAACCAGTCGCCGGAAAACCCGCGAGTTTTCCGGCGACCGCCGAGTTTCGCGGAACCCACGCGAAACGATGGTCACAGCACGCCCACCCTCAGCCCAGCATCTTCAGAACACCTGCAAAGCGAGAAAAGAGAGAAAATTTAGAGAGAGAGAGAGAGATTTCGGACAAACGTCGGCGAGTGTCCAGTTTCTCCGACGAGCCCTCAAACCACCCTTAAACCGACACCAAACGACCTGTTACTACCGTAAGAGAGATCCCTAACGAAAGCACAATAACTCAGGGTGCGTTTTGGGTTATTTCGTAAGCGTCGTCGTCGGTTACCGAGGTCGGAAAGTTAGATTTCTTAATCGATTCTTAGATCTATGGCTTTTAGGAGCTTTTAGGCCGCAAAACTCCCAAAAAGGAAAGAAGGACGACGAACAAAGAGGAAAAGGGAAGGAAGAGAACCGAAATCGGCAACGGAAACGCCGCGGGAAGGAGAGAGAAAGCTCGCCGGAAAATCGGCCAAAGTCGGGTAAGGAAGACGAGATCCACGGATCCGGGTCAACCCGAACCCAGAACCCGGGAGAGCCAGCCTGTTCCTCCATTGGCCTCTGCCTTCGGCCCAGCCCAACTACAGCGGCCCAAACCTCAAATCGGCCCAGAAGCTACGGTTCAGTTGAACCAACCCAGACTAGACCCACGGTCCAATTGAGCCGGCCTGCAAACCAAACACTTGCGGCCCAGCCCAGTAAGCTGAGGCCCAACGTTTAGCCTTGGCCCAGTAGCCTTCCACAGCCGCGACCCGAACCACGACCCGAACCGGACTGCGACCCGCGCTTCGACCCGACACTACCGCCCGACGTGGCTTTCTCTGCGGTTGCCACGTGTCACACAGCGGCGCGGCAGTCCTCGGCTCGGCTCGGCGCAAACGGCTTGGGCTCCCTCCGGTGACGCTCCGGCGGCTCCAGCGGCTGTTCGGCTCGGCTCACCTGTTTTCAGCCCGGTTTCCACTGTTTCGACCCTCCCGAATCTGTTTTCGGCCCCGATTAAGGTATCTGAGGCCGTTTTAGAGCCGTATTTCACATTGTTAGTTGGATTATTAATTAAAATGTGAAATACTAACAAAAGGTGACGAACGGTGGGATATGAAGCGAACTCCAGCAACCTTTAGAGCAACTCTCGAGGAACGGGAGCTTACGTTAATTAAATTAGGGAGTACTTTGGCTAAGGCCAACCAGGTAAGTGGCCTTACTATAGGATAGGCTAAAAATTGTATGAGTTACGATGTTGTATGAACTATGTCGTATGATGCGGTATATGAGTTATGATGATGTATGACTTATGATGATGTGTG